CCATCCATCCATCCATCCATCCATTTTCTGTACACGCTTCTTCCTTTTCAGGGTTGCGTGAGTCACTGGTGCCCATATCCAGCAGTCACAGTGCGAGGGGCGGGGTACACCCTGGACAGGTCACAAGTCCATCACAAGTACGTTACATATAAATTGTTAAACCCTTAGTTATGATCCACTCAAAAATGAGATATTTTTGTTTCCACATTAGGACATGAAAGGGTTAATTATTTTATAAACGTCTTGGCATGGGTGTAAAACGCCAGCTAAACTTTTAATTTTATGTGACAGATCGTATTTTAACCCTCACATTTCCTTGCGCAAAGGACATGAATTTTGTGAATTTCCAACAGTCCCTGCTCACTGGAGCGTGAAGCGTTAACTAAGATTATGGTGTCATTCTAAGCAGAATGATCCCCTCTACCAAAGGTTACGCCCACATTTTCAAAATTATTATCTTTGTTAATTTTATGGCGATTTTTCTGAGAGTATCATTTTTTCTGATACACCCTTTATTTAACCAGATTCACTTTAAACTTAGCAAAACGACATGCATTTTTCCTGGTGAAAATATTGTTTTATTTTAGGTTGTATTATATAACCAGTGCTTTTTTACTATTTTTGCAATGTCTTATTAATCAATGAGAAGTTATTATGTATGAGCGTATTTTGCAGAGAATGTTGATGAGTCCTACTCATTTCAATTACAATCCAGTATAGATCAATTTTGATGCAGTTCATTTTTAGTGCAGTTCATTTTAATGCAGACTGATTTAGATAAATATGGACCAGTTCAATGTTAGTACATATAAACTGCCAGTGCGCAAAAAAAAAAAAAAAAAAAAATCTGGATACGTCCATGGTTCAGGTCTCAAGTCCGTCACAGGGACAAATGGAGACAAATGAGACTAATAGAGACAAATGAGACAGTCAGTCGTGCTCACTCACACCTATAGGATCAATTCAGATTTACCAATAAACATACATGTTTTTGGTCTGTGGGAAGAAACCAGAGTGCCATGTCTGCACAAGTTTAACATGCAAACCTCACAAGGTTGGGAGGTAAACCTTTTACCTTCCTGCTATGATGCGGCTGCTCCAAACACTGCCCTGCTGGGCTGACCTTGTCTAAAACCTGCATTTTTTTTAACTAAAGACTGCATTAAATCTAATTTTGCAGTGACTTTTATATTGTTTTTTTTTGTTTTGTTTTTCAAAGTAACATTGTGCCTTCTCTGCTATACAACAGTTTTTTAAAGTTTGCAGATAGATCACATTATAGCGCCACCCCTTCTATAGCCAGCATGATGTAATTGAAACAAGATAACAGTGACTTTTTGGAGAATGCCCTGTTAGTTTACATTCCACGCATTGTTATATTTCTAACAATACATACCCTCGTTTTATCCACGCACTGAAAATTATTTGCTGTTTAGGCAATTACGTAAAATAACTAAAGAGATCACGAGTCAGCAGATCTTGTATGTTTCGTTGTTTGGTAATGGAGAGGTAAGGTGTCTTTTTCACGTCTTTGTTTCTGTATCAGTATTAGATGTGTGTGCTAGCTTGCCCAGTTCTTTGTTCTTTAATCCGTCTGATGTCAGTCTGTTTGGTTCTTTCCTTTTTGTGAAGAAACACTGATAAACACAGAGGAATTCTCCAAAGGCCAAACTTTTCTAAAGGCTAAAGTGCTTTCAAAAGATGTTATTGTGATACTTTGGCTTTTGATCTGTTGCTCTGTCTCCAGTTTACTTGTAAAGGGGGTAAAATGTTCACACACCACTAAAGTCAGAAAATACTTAACATTGTATCATGTTAATGTGTCTTTCTTATTATCCTTGCCTGTGGATCATATCTACATGTACGGTGCAGTCCTTTTTGTTTAAGTTAATGATTTAAATGACAAAGCTAAAGCATTATCTCCTGACTTCATTCCACTACCACAGCCAGCTGAAAAACACACAGTAGATATACAGCATCTTAGTCAGCTTTACAGGTTACTAATCTAAATGTTGGTGTGGTAGTAACCGAGCACTAACAGATGTTACAAGATCTTAAATTAATAATTAATTTATGTAATTTCCAGGCACTTACTTCAATTATATACTACCATCAAATAACTGTTACTTTCAGTTGTTATGAAAACACCATATATCAAAAATAAATTTGACTTTGTATCATAGCACATCTAAACGCCTTGTTATTGGCCCCTGTCTCTTTAAGAACCACCTACCATTTTTGACACTCCCACTTCAGCACAACTTCATAACAGTGCTTCAGGGGAGGGGTGCTCTGTGGGGCGGGAGCTCGGCTGCAGACTGAGCTCCAGGGAGGAGCTTTGGGTAAATAGGAGGTGCTTTGTCCCAGCAAATGTTGAGGCCGCACCACATGGCTACCACAGGAGATTCAAGGATTTCTCAAACATGCATGAAAGCAACACTATAGGGTATGTTTTTGATGAGGAAATGACATTATAACATGATATAAAGCTCAAAAATTTTATTTTGCATTATCTCCCCCACCCCCATTTAAAATGTTGCCATTAACTATTTGGAGTCACCTTTGTCCATTGACAAAATAGCTCATGGATAACAAGACAGATTTTAATGAGACTTTCAGGAAATGCTTCAATGGGTAATATGCACAGTGGGTAATATGCACTCTGTCAAAGCATTCTAGGTCTTTAATTTTTTATGATTCATTTTTGCCTCTTTGTGTGTGCTCTGGAATAACCTTTATGTGAATCGGTGCTATATGAATTAAATTAAATTTTAGGCATGCTTATTGAGGAGAAAACCTTAGGTCACCACTAGTAGAAAAGAGAAATTTGAATGTCCTTTTGAACTCTAAAAAATGCTAATAAATCAGTGTTGATGTGTAGATGTATTTCTAGAACTTTCAGCTCACATTTTTAAATAGTTTCTGGATCTCAGCAAATGTAGTGATTCAACAGTTGTTCCATACCAACCATTCCAGTTGTTCACATTTTACCTCCTTCATGAAGATGAGGAAATGTGCACTTTTAGTTTTTCTAAATACGCAATAAATTTAGTGTAGATAGTTAATAATGTATCCCTTTTTGCCATTTTAGAGGTTTCGGCCTGAATTACCGTACTTGTGCAGAAAGAGGAAAAAAGAAACCTGAGACTTGTTTTCCTGCTGTGAAAGAAATGCGATGGTTTCAGTGACACAACCCTGTGCCAGCGTGTTTTTAATTCATTCTAAATTGTGTACACTTGTGCTTTAAAATCTGAAATGTGCCTTTTCTTAAAAGTTTTGGTTGCACTCACCGTTCAGTGCCAGTTGAACACTTTTTCTTCCTCACTTCTTATCAGTCACACATTCACACACAGTCACAGAGGAAGGGCTGTCCCGCATCTAAAAGCTCAGTTGGACGGTTTATCCTCTCCACCAGCAGAAACGGCTGAGTGGTCAGTGAGTAACCCCCTTTTAGAACCAGCAGCAGCAACCTGAGAACAAACCCATTCTTATCTGGGCCTGTCCTGTGTAAGGTGGCAGCCAGGCAGGTTTTCTTTCTCACACACACACACACACACACACACACACACACACACACACACACACACACACACACACACNCACACACACACACACACACACACACACACACACACACACACACACACACACACACAGACTTCAGCCTCTTAAGAAAGCGTGATATGAAAGGCTATCATTGAGAAAGGAGGTAAAGAGAAGCAACTGGAGGAATGTCTTTAGCATGTGAATGGTGATGCAGGTTTGGTTTTACAGCGAGGAAGTAAGAAAAAGCTGGACGTAGAGTCGAGACATTGTGGAGGGTGTGCTTGGAGTCTATGGAAGCAAGAAATGAACAGAATCTGTGTATTGTTCTTAATTTAATTACAAAAACTGGAATAAGTTCAAAATAAAACCAAAAAAAGGTTTCAAGTTGCAGCAAGTTGTTTGCATTCGGCTCACGTATCTTCTTAAATCAGATTCTGCTTTGTGGCTCTTCTTCCTTACAACCTTTTCTACACATAAATAATTACATGCAAAAAAACATAAACAAACACGCCGTCCTTTGAGTGGCAGGTATCCTCTGTGTGATTGGCATCGTTAATCCCTGTTGTCACACAACACTGTGAGTTCCTGTGTGTGTATTTGTGTGTTTGTATGTATGTTACCAGTGATTAATTATCGTTCTCATGCTGGGCGTCTCCTTAGGTTATTGATTACGTCATGAACCAAACCCACAGGGGCATGATTTCTTTGCACTAACAGGGAATCAATTAGTGTCTGGGGACTTGTTGATGTACGCACATGCTTTTATGTAAATGTGTCCCCCCCTGTATGTGTGCATTAGTGTAATTGTGTGTTACATGAAAAACTCTGTAAATGTCATGATACCAGCTTTGCGTTTTTGTCATTCTGAATGCTGCTCACTCAAATACTAAAAAGTTAAGCAACATCTCTCTGACATTTGGTGTTCTTGCTGGTCTTCCCTCAGCATCGGGGCTCTGATGAGACGTGTGTTTGTGTTGCGAACCATCAGCATGGTCTTTCAAAGTTCCCTGCTCACCGTACTGGAACCCTCGCCAATCATGAAAGGTGAGGAACAGGATGTAAAGTCCAAACCTGCACACCAACAACAAACAGAATATGGTCCCGTTGTTCAGTTTATATTGCTCATTCTGATGGGAATTTAAATGTTTTACGTTTCATTTAAAGTTAAACTAAATGTTAAGTGTTGATATACAGTATCTCAAAAAAGTGAGTAAACTCTTTTGTTGCCTGAGGTTTACACATTCATGGCTGTGTCGAGTTGTTACGAGGGGACAGTAAATTTACGCTTTTATACAAGTACACTGACTACTTTCTATTGTACCAAAGTGTCACATCTGCAGTGTTGTTCCATGAAGAGATATAATAAAATAGTTACAAAAATGTGAGGGGTGTACTCACTTTTGTGAGATACTGTATCTAATAGAAAGCTTTAGTTTATGCAGTCACTGTTAAAAGGAACTTAAAGTCATATGAAAACATTTGGGCACCTTGTTAATCTTAATCATTTTTATTTCTAAATATTTGGGTGTTTGCAACAGTTATTTCAGTTTGATATACAGTATCTAATAACTGATGGACACAGTAATATTTCAGTATTGAAATTAGGTTTATTGTACTAACAGAAAATGTGCAACATGCATTAAAACAAAACTTGACAGGTGCAAAAGTATGGGCACCTCAACAGAAAAGTGACATTAATATTTAGTAGATCCTCCTTTTGCGAAAATAACAGCCTCTAGTCGCTTCCTGTAGCTKTTAATGAGTTCCTGGATCCTGGATGAAAGTATTTTTGACCATTCCTCTTTAGAAAACAATTCCAGTTCAGTTAAGTTTGATGGTCGCCAAGCATGGACAGCCCGCTTCAAATCATCCCACAGATGTTCAATGATATTCAGGTCTGGGGACTGGGATGGCCTTTCCAGAACATTGTACTTGTTCCTCTGCATGAATGCCTGAGTAGATATGGAGCGGTGTTTTGGATCATTGTCTTGCTGAAATATCCATCCCCGGCGTAACTTCAACTTCGTCACTGATTCTTGAACATTATTCTCAAGAATCTGCTGATACTGAGTGGAATCCATGCTACCCTCAACTTTAACAAGATTCCTGGTGCCGACATTGGCCACACAGCCCACAGCATGATGGAACCTCCACCAAATTTTACAGTGGGTAGCAAGTGTTTTTCTTGGAATGCTGTGTTTTTTTGCTGCCATACATAACGCCTTTTTGTATGACCAAACAACTCAATCTTTGTTTCATCAGTCCACAGGACCTTCTCCCAAAATGAAGCTGGCTTGTCCAAATGTACTTTTGCATACCTCAAGCGACTCTGTTTGTGGCGTGCTTGCAGAAACGGCTTCTTTCGCATCACTCTCCCATACAGCTTCTCCTTGGGCAAAGTGCGCTGAATTGTTGACTGATGCACAGTGACACCATCTGCAGCAAGATGATGCTGCAAGTCTTTGGAGGTGGTCTGTGGATTGTCCTTGACTGTTCTCACCATTCTTCTTCTCTGCCCTTCTGATATTTTTCTTGGCCAGCCACTTCTGGGTTTAACAAGAACTGTCCCTGTAGTCTTCCATTTCCTTACTATGTTCCTCACAGTGGAAACTGACATGTTAAATCTCTGAGACAACTTTTTGTATCCTTCCCCTGAACAACTATGTTGAACAGTCTTTGTTTTCAGATCATTTGAGAGTTGTTTTGAGGAGCCCATGATGCCACTCTTCAGAGGAGATTCAAATAGGAGGACAACTTGCAATGGGCCACCTTAAATACCTTTTCTCATGATTGGATACACCTGGCTATGAAGTTCAAAGTTCATTGAGGTTACCAAACCAATTCTGTGCTTCAGTAAGTCAGTAAAAAGTAGTTAGGAGTATTCAAATCAATAAAATGATAAGGGTACCCAAATTTTTGCACCTGTCAAATTTTGTCTTAATGCATAATAAACCTCATTTCAATACTGAAATATTACTGTGTCCATCAGTTATTAGTCACTTTTCACACAGTTAGTCACAGTTATTAGCTATATCAAACTGATATAGCTGTTGCAAACACCCAAATATTTAGAAATAAAAATGATTAAGGTTAATAGGGGTGCCCAAACTTTTTCATATGACTGTATCAAAAAAAATGAAAGATGCTTTTAGGATCTTATAAAAACTTGAGTTTAGGGCAGATTTTAAGCTTTTCTGAAAGAGTGGGGATGAAGATCACATGTCTCACTGTTTCTCCAAAGAATATGGCTCTAACAACATGCTATATGAGAAGACCTTGGTGCTCAAATTTGATTTGTTTCAACCAAAACATCCCAGGGACCACAGGAAGTTATGATAACATACAAAATTAGCATAGCATAAGTATCAAAGGTAAAATAAACACAGCTAAACTGTGAGAATCAATTTGCTGCTCTGCTTCTGCATTAGAGTATTTAAAATAGTGTTGTAGTCAAGACCACCAAACCCAAGACTAGAGTGTATCAAGACTGAGACAAGACCAAGACTTTTAGGAGCTGGACCAAGTCGAGACCAATACTGAGTGAGAGTGAGCCTGATTCAAGACCAGAAAAAAAGGAAACGAGTGTCCTACACTTACAGCATATACACAGGTAGGCAACTCAATTATTATTGAATAAATTTCTTTGTGTGAGGGCCAGGTAAAGAATTTTGGTAGAGTGGCAGATTGTGGTAACAAAAATACAGAATTAGCAACGAGTCACACTTTGATTTGAATCAGTAGGATTTACTTCCAATGAAAACAAGGATGTTAACAAATAAATTGGACAATATTCTGGTAATTTAGTGATGTTTCCACAGTTGTGGTCTTGACTGGTCTTGAAACAAAATCCAAAGTTCTGAATGTCCGAGTCTGAGACAAGCCCAAGTACAAATGCCGTAGAGACTGAGTCCATCAAAAAGTGGTCTTAAGACTAGGGCTGGGCGATATTGGCAATAAAATTAATCACGATTAATTGTGGTATTTAGTCAATAACGATTAATTTGACGATTAATCCCCTGGAGTCCCTCGACACCCTTATGTCCTAGTCACATGACCAACTTAGTGGGAAATATTTGCTCTTCATAAAAATCTGTTCCAAATTGTCAAAATTACAGACTTCAGACTATACATCAAATTTTAAATTGTGTTGATAGATAAATAAATTACAGAATTTTTTTTTTTAAATGTTCGTCATATTTGAAGCAGAGAGGAGCATCAAGCGGACCAACCAGGGAAATCTCCAGTCAATCTGCCTGGTGGCATTAATCGTATTAATTGTCAAGTGCCAAAAAATAATCGATTAATGTTTTTCTGACGATTAATTGCACACGATACGATTATGCCCAACCCTACTTAAGACCAGTCTCAAGATAAAGACTGATCTCAAGTACTGCAACACTGATTTAAAGCACAAATGTATGGAGTTAACCAAAGGAGAGCAAACATTTTATTTCTGTTCCAGCTTTATTTTATAGGAAAAGTCTGATATCAGTGTTAGAAATTGTGTTGATTTCAGGTACAAATGTTGACAACCTGCCCTGAGAACAAACATTTAATCAAAATGTTGGGAACAGTTGTGGACAAGCGGAGGTCTCTCCTCAAAGAGCCATTCAGTTTTAAACCTCCTGTTCCTCTGCACCACCACTGTGTTAGGAATTCATATTCACATAAACCATCTGTCAGAGATGTCTCTCTTTTCCTATAAAACCTCTCAAACTGAAAGTTGAGGCCTCTTCCTCTCCATAACAAAGATTTCAGAAATCCAAAAGGAAACAAAAAAAAAGAAAGAAAGAAAGCAGAAAAACATTCAGTTTCGGATTTTTCAATATTACATGATAACGCTCCGCTTCCCACTCCTGCAGTCTGATCAGGCGGTGTATCTGTGTGACTCCACCAGCGTTGTGTCGCTGACTGAAGAATCTTATTCGGCAAAAACTCTGGCGGCTTGAGTGAATAATTCAGCGATCGTGGGAGCGGAGACAGAAAGGCTCTGTGGTTCCTCTGTGTTTCCCCACTAACTCTGCTCTGCCTCTCCCCCTCAGAGGATAACACTACATGTGTTTTGGAGATGTGGGGCGGGAGGCACTTCAGCAGGCTTACCTTTTCCTGCTGCTTTGTCTCTTCGCTTTGACTTCAACATAAAGTGGTGCAAAGTGTAGGAAAAGCAGACAGCACTGTAAAACATTTTTTTCCCTTTATTCTGTCAGGAAAAAAAACCACTCCGGTGTTTCTGCCTTTGGACGCAGATGTTGTGATTCACTTTGCTTGTCTGCTTCCTCAGGTATGGGAGTTCTGAGCATGAGCATTCAACACTTCCTGGGTGGTCTCATCACCACACTCACCTTCACCACCATGATGCATTGTACTCAGAGGGCAGAGGAAAGCATCCAGGTAACAAAGACTTCACTCAGTCCTATCAGCAGGCTCATTCTGGACGCAGTGGCTAATGTTACATAACACTTTGATAACTTTTTCTTGTAATTGTGGCAATCAAGGGTGTTGGGTGACATTCTGCAGTTTTAACGGATAACCATCTCTTTTTTTTAAGTGTTATGTCTTTACTTTCTTAACATTCTTCTCACCTGTAGTGTCACAGCTTTGCTATTTGATAACACGAGGTCAGCTCTTAGTTTTAAAGAGAGGCAGTACAGTACCTACTGTCACCTTTACCTGGGCATTCTGAGAAAATCTCAGGTATAAGCAAACCTAGTTGCTTCCTTTTTTTTTCATTTTTGTCCTCTCATGCTGGCTTTGTATTTCCAACAACCTGTTTTTTTTTTTCTTTCTCCATTTTGTACAGTAAAGCTCAAAACTTTCTTTTCCGCTCCAACTGTTTCCTCTTCTCTCTTAATTTCTCCTGTTTGACATAACTTCTCTTTGTCCTTGTCGTAACTGGGCCATCATTGCCTGGAGGTGATCGTTTTTCACACGGTTATTCAGACGTCATCCAGTCAGTCTCCGGAGGTGACAAATTATAACTTAAATTGCTGTGAGTCTTAACATGTGAAAGAAGGACAAAAAAGTAAATAAATCTGCAAGCTCCTGCACAGATGTCAGAGCTCTCATATGAATGAAAATAAATATTACGAGAAAACAATCAACAATACAGTCAAGAAAGCAGCCGTTATTTCACAAGTTTAATTGAGTGTTGAGCTGTTTGTTTTTATTGTTGTCTGTGTGTGAATCTGTATGTTTATGTGTTTACTTGTTTCTACTACAGCGTGAGGACCATTTGTGACATAGTTATTATCTAAGTGAGGTCTTTGATGTCCTCACTTTATTTGCAGCTCTACTGTGCTTTACTAGTTAGGTTTAGAGGTATGCTGTTGATTAAGTTTTGGTTCAGTTTAGGGTTATGTATAGACCAGTAATGGTTAGTTTTAGGAAAAATGTCTGGGTTAGGCATAAATACAATTATAAAAATGAATGGCAGTCAATACAATGTCCTCAGTTTGATGCGAGTACAAGAATGTGTGTGTGTGTGCATGTGTGTGTGTGTGTGTGCAGGATAGGGAAAGCATTAGCTCGCCTGTTGTGTGCATATGTGCGTGTTATTGAAAGTAGTGCTATCCAGTAACAGAAAGCTGATAGTGTGAGTGCTTGTTAACGATACCCAGGAGAAAGAAACCGAATCTGTTAAACAAGTTGCTCAGAATAAAGACACTCCACTTAGCTGTGGTCACACAGGCTCTCAGAGCTGCTCCACACCGCAGCCACAGAGTCGCTCAAAGCTCCTCAACACATCTTTGTCCTGAGAGAAGTTCTCTTCTCAGCTTAATTGATTTTCTGCTCTTTTAATTGGCAAGTTCAATACGTGGTTATCTGATGAAATTGCCTGTAGGTAATCAGGTTTGAATTTTAATATTTTAGTTAATGTGAGTTGATTCTATATAAATAAAAAAATTTAGATTGATTTGGATAATTGATTGCTACTTTTTTATCAGTTATTGTTTTTTCAGTTTCATATCACTGGCAAGAATGAAACCTTTATTTGTTGCGTTTCACATGACGAACAGCTCAATACCAAAAAGAACACAGTGTACAAAAACACGTGTACAAAAAACCAGCAGATCTTCACGTCAGAGACAGCAGAACACTAGAAATAGTTGTTTTGCTAAATAATAATAAAAAAACTAACGGTTAAAAACACAGCTTACTTGTTGCAGCTTTATTTTCACGTACTTCTGATGAATGGATATTAATTCTGTAAAAAAAAAAAGCTTTTACAAAAATGAAGGAACATAGTGTTCACACTCATTCACACAGTGAAGCTTAGGAAGTTTGATATATTTATGTTATTTGAAATGCAGAAATATTGATTCATTCAACATATTTTAGAAATATCACCAACAGTGGATCTTTGGTTAAAAATGAAGTTCATTGCTGAGATTAGATAAATATATTAAAAAATGAATTAGTTTGTTTGTATTGAATGTGGTGTTATTGAACAGAAGGAGGAAAGACGTTACATCATCTGTCTTTTCTCTCACTCAGTCATAAAAACCTAAAGGCTGAGATCAGATACTCCTCTTCGTCCGGTTTCTTTACATCCTCCCAGATGATCTGACACCTCATCCACCAGCGTTATAGTGTTCGTCTTTCCTTCTCTGTCCTTCAGTATTTCAGAACGTTTAGACTTCAAATACACCATTTCCTTTTTTTTTCTTGTTGTGACAAAGAGGTTTTATCATGTTATTCTCTTTATTGTTCAATGCTTTGCTCTCTCTCTCTTGCTACATGGTGTCTTTTATTCCTGTTGTCCTTCTTTCCCACTAATTTTTTTAACCCCCATTATTTCCCTTTTCTGTCATTATTCTCCCTCCTCATAACCCTCTGTTGTCCTTCTCCTTTCAGGCCACCCACTACAGTTTCTTGGCGACTCTGGAGGTGCTGGGGAAGCTGATGTTCAGTGCTTTTGCCGGGGTGTTGGTGGACTGGTTTGGTTTCCAGGTAGCCTTCCTGTTCTTCCTCACGCTGTCTGCTGGGACAGCGCTGCACGTGTGGACAGCTACCTTCACTGGTGCTCTCAGGGAGCATCAGATCAAAGAACAGCCCAAATGACTTCCAGGCCTAAAGGTCCTGGTTTAGGGCAAGTGCTGCTGAATGAAACATGATGAAATAGAGTTTGACTATTTAAAAACCGCAAAGTATGTGTCACGTTAAACGTAACAGTTTTATTACAGGAATTTACATCAAAAGATCTTGAAGAAGTCTTGGCTGTTCTTAAATAAGTCAACCATGGTTTTAAGTTCAGTGTGTGCTTTTGTTTTGTATGATTCTGCCAAATTTAGCTTTATTTTTTTCTTTTAAAGTTTCACAGAAAGTCTTAAAATGTGAAGATGAAGCTCACACATAAAAACATAATATAGGCTCATTAAATGAAGCTGCATTATGTACTGAGGATAGGGATGAGCATTGTAAGCAAAAACACTTCACTTTTGTCAGTAATTATTTAACTTTTTATCAAATGCTCAACCCATCCATCTATCAGCTAGTGCTTCAAACACAATACCAACTTTCAGACATTCACGCTTCTCACAATGTGTTTATTTTGTCTTTTACTCAAGCAGGGCTAATTAATATAGCACAATAAGACTCAGCATAACAAACTGTTTAAAAGCACAAAAATCAGTCTTAATGAGCACTTATTTCAGTTGCTGCTTTATGATTTAGAGCAGCTGCCTGTTTTCATGTTGATTAAAAACTTGCTTGTCCCTAGGCCTGCTGGACAATTAATTGTCCCAGAAATTATTGCGATAAACGATAATATTGTCTTGTGACAATTTTAAAACTAATATAATGATAATAGCATAATAATGTACATCATCTCAAAGATCAATAAATTTTAGTTTTTTAAGAATGTTTTAACAAAATGGACTCTCAGTATAACAAAAAACGCACTTGAAGAAAAAAACAAAGAACAAAATGGAAATTAAAGACCACACACAACTGAAACAGTAAATAAACAATATTAAAGAGCTCTCTTTAGAGTTGAAGCAAACTACGCTGCCTGAGTGCGCACCGCTTTTTGTATGTCGCTTGTCGGTTGAACGCTCCAGTCATTGTGGACTGTCGGGAAGACTGAGATGACCCGTCAATTTTAGTTTTTTTTTTCCCCCAGCTGGGAAAACTGCATCGGATGATTATGTTTTAGGTGCAGATGCAAGTTTGTGGTTTTGCTACTTTTAGTTGCTATTTTTTTTTACAACAAATTCAACATACCGGCTCGCACAGGTTAAGTAGTTCACCACAATCACTGGGTTTGAATCCAAGTGCTCCCACACTGCAGCGGTCACATTCGGCTTTGAAACCAATTCCAACGTTTCTTTAGTTTGTTATTGCTACAAGCTTTCATGCCGTGCCCGACAATACCTAACGCGAGAGTTCACACCTCCCGAAGAAAAGAGGAGGGGGAGGGATCAGTCGAGCACCCTTTACATCGGAGCACAGAGAGGGTCGGACGAAGTAAACAAGCAAGCAGGCAAATGAAAATTATCGTCCTCATTTTTTTAAAATCGACCTCAAAATAATTTATCATACGATTAATTGATTTATTGAATATCGTGACAGGCCTACCTATGGTTGGGATTTGCGGTGACTTAAAGTTTGCTCACCACAATTCCTGCAGCTGAAAAACCATCTAATGAAACAGAGGGTACCAAGATGTCTGCTGCTGCTACTAATTCTGCAAGCTTGTGGATCTTTATTCTTTCATTTTTACAGATCCAATCGATCAACAGGGATGCATGTATTCTCACTGTAAAGCTGAGCACACCCATAACCATAGTTTTCACTTTAAAATCCTTTCAAAATAAGACAATGGCAAAAACATATCCTCCAACGCTCTAAGTTGTTTTACTTGTTTTTTTGTTTTGTTTTGGCACCACAACTAGAGAACAAGTTTGAAGACAACTTGATGTGTCACTAGATGTTGGTGTTAATATATATATATNTATCAAGTCTTCAATTAGGGGTGGGGATAGATTTTGAAATATTCCAAGTATGTATGTATATACTGTATATATATATATATATATATATATATATACAGTATATACATACATACTTGGAATATTTCAAAATCTATCCCCACCCCTAATTGAAGACTTGATATATTTGGTAAATATACAGATGAAATGACATTTGATATTTGACAGTGACATATATTAGTGTATATCAAATGGTAATATTGTATAATTGAAGCTGTTTCTGTCATCTAAGTCATTTGGACACAGTTACAAGCTAGCAATAAGAGCTGTAACCAAAAGCAATATTTTTATTTTGTCTTGTCATGCTGTACTGTTTTTCAATGTTTTGGTCAAAATTTTAAGTTGTACGGTTTACAAATATAACTCTTAAGTATCTGCTACCTCATTTAAGCAGTGTACGGTACAATACAAATACACAGAAAATATAGTAGTGGTGCAAACAGTACTTCCTAATCACCTCGTAGTGTTATTTGAAATAAAAAAGCCCAAGTAGATTTGCTGTTGGAGCTATATCTTTAAAAAGAGACTAAAAAAAGTAGTTTAGTTTCTGAATGAAGCATTTACTCTGTGTATGTAATAAACCATTTATGTAATTCTGCAAATGTCAACCTGACACTTGTAGGGAACCTCAGCCTTACACACTGCATGGTGCCATCTTGTCTTACTTCATCATTAGACTAATTAAAAAGACTTTGTTTTGAAGAGAACTCGAATGACCAGTAACACTGGGAAAGTACGTGTCTGTTTGGCGTTGTGTACCTGTTGCATTTAATCTTTAGAAAATATTAAATGCACAATAATAATAACAATGTACTTGAAACTGTATTCCAACTTGTTGTCTTTCTGTATCACATAGAAGATAAGTTTCCCCAGCTTAAAATAAGAAGATATGTTTGACTCACCAGGCTGTGCAGGATTAAAACTGCATTGTTTGTGGTGATGGATGTTTTGATGAAGTCAAATCTGATAATTGTTCTTTGGAGAGGAGTAAAAACTGGATTATTGCTTGTAAACTATAAAGGTGTCTAATTTTAGCAAACAATACCAGTTGACCACCTGCATATCTCTTGTCTCGCCTACTGTACTGTCTTCAATTTGCACAAAATTAAAGCTGCTGAATGAATTTCGGGTGTGGTTTTTATTGGTATTTTTGGCATTTACCTGTTTTCACTGGATTCCACCACTTTTTCTGTTCCCAGAGAAGATGTGGAGTTCTCTTTGAAACTCCTCTGTGGCCTGCAGCAGTTCTTAAGACAATGCTGGGTCTCTTCAGTGCTCTACAGCTGAGGTCTGCAGGAGTAAGTAAAGCTTGTGTCACAGCAGCAGCCACAGCATAAACAGCTTTAATGACACAACAAATACTGGAGAGGAGGATTAAACCAGCTTACAAAACCCCTCAATACATCTCCACTTTACACTTTCTCACCGCACCTTATCTGGATTTTTTGTTTTCTTTTTTTTGTGTTGGAGGGAGCTTTTATGAAAGAGCAGTGAGCCTTTTTACAATCCATCTAAACATATACAGGATGAGTTAAATCAAGAATTTCCACACGTATGAAATTTGTCAAGGTGCTAACTTTAAATCAAAAGAAAGCAATTCCATGTTTTTTTTCCTTTCAGAATTATGTGAAACTTTCAATAAATACATTTATTTATTTGCTTCCAATAAGTCATTCTTGTGATTGTTTAAAACTTTTCTTCACTACTTCAAAGTTTTTATTTGGCCTTGACCTACTTTTTTCCTTCCCAAATTTTTCGTCCAGTGCTATTTTTAGAAGTGACTTTTTGTTTCAACTCTATTCTTTGAGTAATTCAGGCATAAAAACGCTCCTAAACTCAAGAGCAGAACCCGTGTTGTGTTGATGCACAACACACAAAAAGAAAAAAAAGGTTGCCTAGTAAAAATTAGTTTCAGCATATTTAGTGATTAAAGCAGCATAAACTCTTCTTATAAAAACCTAATGTAGGCATGCCTTGCCTCTATGTCATTGGCCTTTTCCCTCCAGGACATTAAATTTTATACTCTTGACTATAAATAAAATATTCCTGAATTAAACATAAGATCTATAAAACAAACAAAAAATAAATAAACTGCATAAGTTTTCTCTCGTTTAAAAACACTAAAGTACTAAAGATCTCTTAAGTGAGACTTTCAGCTCAGAAACAATGTTTCAGTTTGTTTAAAAATTATAAATGTACAGTTGTGAACTTTGGCTTACAAAAAAGTAACATGGAACCATGATTTATAAGAAATAAATTGGTGCACAAAATTGAGTAGTTAATTTGAAAGTCTATGCTGTACTTCATCGTGTTTTTAATAAAACACATAAATCAATAGCTGCTTATTTCTTCTTTAGATTTCTTCTAATTACATTTTTAGGAGACAAAAAGTCCAGTTGACATTTTTACAGTCCAATTTAATTCATTAAAAAAATTGTAAATAATGTAAACAGGCTGGCCAGTTAAAGTAAAAAAAAAAAAAAAAAACAGGTAGTAAAGCCTCTTAAAGCTGGCTATATTAATCTTATTAAGACATCATTTTTGTATTAACATGTAATTTAAAAATGTGGTGGTTTATTTTTGTTTGATTTTTTTGTTTGTTGTGTACTGGGAGTCAGAGTTAGACTTCCTTTTAAAGCAGGGGTGGGCAACTGACTGCCTGCAGGCCACTTCCATCCATCCCACCAAGGAGTCCTCCCCCCTCCTCCCACTATTTTTTATTTACTTAAAACAACACTCAAAGCAGCTCTTGATCAGTTCTCTATGGATCTACTAACATGTAAACAGATATTGTCACTGGCTAAGTTCAACAAATTCACATACAGATCCTCACTGACTCTCTCTCTCTCTGTTCTTCACATCAGCACCTCAGAAATTCAGCCAGATTTGATGCCCTTGTTAAAGCCCAAGAAGACACCCTAGATTTTTCTCACTGAACAAGTAAAATGAACTGAAAAGAATTAAAAGCACTTATTGCTTTTTTATTAATTTGACGGCATGTTGCAAAACATTTTTTGTGATTGTTGAAAATAAAATATAATAATGAAATCACAATTTCATATACTTTACACATATTTTCATAAAGATTGACAGCATATCCTTGTCCAAATTATCAGTAGGCTATCAGCTAATCAAAATATATAATTTACTGCTCTTAACAATGGTTAAAAAAAACAGGAAAAAAATAATTGCCCACCTCTGACTTAAACAAAGCTTTGACGTTTTATATGATAATAATCGGAAACTTTAGCTTTAACTCCAGTGGAAGGATGGGAAGACAAAGCTGGTGACAAATTTATTGTTTCTCTCTGTAACTAAAACCTTAGAGCTCAGTGTAAACTGTTTTTGTTGAGACATACAGTATGTGGAAAGAAAAACTAAAGTTTTGCAGAAGAAGAGGAGAAACAGGTTAACTGCAGGCACATCGTTTGTGAGCTCCACTGTGAAGCCTTTGCGGACACTGAAAGGAAGGTAAGTGGTCTGGATCCTGCAGAGCTTGATGAGAGTGAGACCTCCCTCTGTGGCTGCCAGATTGGCAGAAACTCCCCGTGGAGACGCTGTGTGTGTCGGGGGCCACTTTTCCTGCCACCACTGCCGCAATAGATTGTTGGATTTGATGTGTGTGTTTCTGCATGTCGACTAATGCCTTTGTTAGAATAACAGTCATAAGTGTTGCGGCGAGTTGAGGGAGGTGGCTCCATTTATCTGGTTTGTACACACAGGCTGTTGTGGTGTCACAGATCATCCAATGACTGAGCGCAAATGTCTCGGTGCACGTGGCGTTGTGTTTGTTTCTGTGGTGATTCCTGAGTTGTTCTTAAAAATCAAACATGAGGGTAAGGCAGAGTTTGGTTTCATTACCAATCACTGCAACAGATAGGCCTTCACATTCACCCCGTGCCAAGTCTGATCAGCTAATCACAGCCTCGGTAGACTCACCACAAAGAAGGCCAGACAATAGGAAACACGGAAATAATAAGGCAGATTTTATGAGCGTCCAAGAATGGAGAGCGAGTTCACTGGCAGTTACAGTGCGTCTCTCGCCTGGTAGAGTTACCTCTGGTGGAGAAAAGATGGGAGGGAGGCAGAAAATGCAACATGTTTTAATCTCAGCAAACAAAGGTGTTGTATCGCTTTTTCCCCCACCATCTTTTGTCTCCCATCGCCTCAGGAGAAGAGAGGTGTTGGCTTTTTGCGCTGCCTTTGTCCAGTGGCTGAGAGAATGGTCTCCTGGGAAACTCGAGTGGGCAGGTGGAGGAGCGATCAGCGGCATCGGGTGTCACGGTGTTTCCTTCACCGGTGTTTACTTTTTGTTTATTTGCAGAATGAGGGACATGGACACCTTCTCTTACTGTACCACGCTCATTTTCCTTTTGTTCTTTCCACCTCTTTGTTCTTCGCTCTCTGCTTTTCTGACTAAATTCACTGAAGGCATCGCAAGTTGTCTTTGTTATTGATTTTGAGACACTTGATAAGCAAAAGTGGAAACTTTAAACTTTCCATTTCATTCTTTTATTTTTATTTTTTATTTTTTGGATGTACTATCTAAAAAAGAAAGAATACAGTTTAGGACACTGTAACTAACAAACAGTACAGAACATCAAATTAGACACATAATCCTCTATAAGCTCAGATGTATCAAAGAGCTTAGGGGCCCCAAAGTTGGAGGAGGCCCTTATTGATACTAAAGAGAAAACCAAAGCCATGAGGCATTCCTTCCCATCTTTACATCAGACAAATCGTGTACAATATCATCTTTAGTTACAATAAGATGTTCATGGTTCAACATTATTGTGGATTAAATTGTAACTGTAACAGTCAAAGCAGCTTCAGTGAGAACAACAACAGCAAAAAGTTATTAGATTAATAATTATCATTTAAAGTAAAGCAAGAATAAAATAAGAATGCAACGTAAAGCATGCTGGG